GCTGAGAGAGAGAGAGGAAGGCTGCACGAGTGACGAGATGTGCGCAAAAAGGAGCCGCTTCGCAGGGAAAGGAGTGGTGTGAACGGAGTAACAACAAACAATTAGACAGATATTGACAGTAAACTTCATATTTTGGAGCGATCGGGCAGATATATTGTCTCTGCAGTTTAGTAGGCTTTTATTAGGCTTATATAAAGGATGATGAAAAGGATAAATGTCCACCAGGCAGTTCAGATAGTACGGCTGTTTTTTGAACTGGAAGCAGAGGAAGTGGGCGGAGACTCAGCCGGAGTCTGAGGCAAATAGGGAGGATGTTGATGACGATGTGGCAGATCCACAGGTCTGTCTTCGCTTACGTCCGCACGTTCACGCCACGCCCCTTGTCTTCTACTACGTTCGCGTCTCACAACAACACAATAGGCGCATTGCACCACAGGGCGCGGTGTACATTTTGGAGAAAATTTAAGACTTTTAGGTGCACCTTATGGTCGTGAAAATACGGTATTTCGTTGAGTCCTGATGAAGACTTCAGGTTTGATACACCACGTGGAAAACAGATTCATCAGTTGTCCTGTCATTTTCTAGCAAACTGCAGAACTAGTGGGGACACAATGACAAAAACTGACCAAATTTCCAGACACTTTTCCTTAGTGAAGTTTCTTCATGTTCTTTTGTATTTAGTGCACCCAGACAGACAAAATCCTAAAATTCCCCCCTAATTCACGCTAACAACTCAGACACTTTTAGAGTATATAAAGATAACAAGAAATATTCCTTTGTAATCATATTTTTCTCCGTTTGTTGCTTTTAGTTGTTATATGCATTCTTTGAAGTTCAAAGTAAAGAGATAGAGCCTTTTGTGGGATTACCTGGATGTTTTTATTATTCCAAATGCAGGTATACAGAAGCTCCTTTGAGAACCAGTCCTCTCTGAAGGCTTCTTTACCTCCTTTCTGTTTGCCTGCTCCCACGGTATCCGCCATCTAAAAAGGACGAGTAACAAACAATTTGTAGCGGGAAAGCCGAGGACTTGAAAGAACACACCAACACTTAAACCAGCTGAACTTAGGCTTTTGTGCAGGAGCAAACAGTCTGCATGAAACACTCCGTAAATGCAAATTGTATTCATCTTGTGACAAAAAGGACATTTTTTTAAAGAGACGGGAAAATAATTGGGTGTCAGTCCCCGTTGATGTGACTTTTTGTAATCAGTGTAAATATTGTGTTTGTCATGCTTTAGGAGCTGCATCAGAATAAGGTCGTTTTAACTCAGGAGTCTTTAGGCCACATTTGAATTAGGGAGATAAAAACTACAGAAATGGACATCATTATCATTGTTATTAGCAACCTTCAATTAAAGATACAACAAAAACTCACAGTGGTCTAACTAGACACTGACAACGTAATAATAAAAATGTGCTAAAGATCATCTAATGTAGATAGTTTTTTATATTTTGGTTCAACAAAATAATTTTTAAAAACTGATAAAATCAGCTTGGACTGGCCCTTAATGTCAATATTTTTGCACAACCTTATGAGACAATCAAGTGATCTCCACACCTGTCGACAGGTTTATTTTTCACCCGCTCACCCTCAGGTTTAAATAGGTTATTTCCAGATGTTTCACCTCCTTCCACAGATGTTCAACAGGATTTAGATCAGGACTTTGTCATTCCTGAGTTTCATTACCCTGGTGAAGAACACATGAATTGAGACCAAGCTTGACGCTTGGCAGCACACGCCTCTATATGTTGATGGTCTCGAGATTTAATTGGACTTTGAAGAGACTCGACACCCTGTTTCAGACGCAGCAGAGCCGCCACAGAACCGAACCACGGTTTGTTCCATAGGTCTTATGGCTTTCACCTTTTACAAGCTTGTCAAAAATAGTTGTCTTTCTAATCTCCTTAGATACATGTTTCTGGTCCATATTCAGAGCGGTACACACCCTGACATCAAACAGCACCGTGACTACCTGTCACCCCTTAAAAAGGCACACTGGCTGATAGGAGTGAAAACACATGACAGAGGACAGATCTTGTGTAATTTATACACATTTCAAGTAAAAATAATTAATGGGCTTATTAGACATGAGCATACAGAGTTGTAACATAAGGTCACACAGGTCAGTCAATCTCTTAGGAGTTTAAAAATGGGGCATCTAGTCTTGATTCACATATATTTTTATTTCTGCCAGGTCGGATGAGTCATAAAAGTAAGTATAAGTTCAGTCTGTGATGGTCTGTTACGGGCTAACACAACTTCCCAACACACCCTGATGCCCTCTTTCAGCCAGACAGCTGAGACAGTCAAAGCTAGATCCAGTCAGAGAGCAATTAGAGATGGCACACGGCTGTGGATGCATGTGTTTGCCCCTGGCCGTGTGAACATAATAGCATCAGTGTTTCCCCCAATGTTAGTTGACATTCCTCTCTTTTCTATTCTTTGTAACATATTTAGTCCACCTTTCCTTCAGTCCTCTTCCCCCTAATACCAATTCTAGATTCTTACAGTTCCCTTTTTTGGCGGACTATGTGCTTGCACGCCTTCATTCGTCTATTTACGCGTGTGAGGGAGCTGGGGGGTGATGGGGGGGTGGGGCAGTATTGTCAGACACATCACAGCACCAGATGTCCAATTCACACTTCAGCCTTGTCTCTGAATGGAGGGACTGATAGAAATAGGGAGATGAAAAATGTTGGTGTGATGGTCTGAAAGCAGAAAAAGAGATCTGGCCTGAACACAAGTAGTGAATGTTTTTTCTTTCATTTGGACATGAAAATCTTCTACCTTTGCCACATTCAGAGCAGTACAAAAGTCTTGAGTCATATCCCATTTCTGAGTCACACCTTTTGAGCTTTTCAAATATTCTTGATCAATATATTTTCAGCCTGAAGGTTTTTAAAGATTTTAGCAGTCTTAATTATTTTTTTAAATTAGTCTTTAGTCTAGTATCTGACTAATTTCAAATGACTTTATTCCTCTTGTCATTAAGTCACTTTAACTCTGACCAATAGGTAATTCAGACAGTGTGATATTCTCACACTGTTTTATCACCACATAGCAGAGGTGGGACCAAGTCACTGCTTTGCAAGTCACAAGTAAGTCACAAGTCTTTCCAGTCAAGTTTAAGTCAAAGACAACCGAGTCCAAGTCGAGTCCAAAGTCAATGATGTGGAAGTCCAAGTCAAGTTCAAGTCCTTCACTTTGAATTTTCAAGTCATAATCAAGTCATCTGTCCAACTTCAATTTACATTTAATTTTGACAATGATAATGAATAAATTCCAGAAATAAAGCTTCTTAAAGCTTAATTAATTTGCTCAAACAAGCAGAAAATGTAACTGAAACTGATTATAAACAAAGTGCTGCTGCATTTAGCAGAACAAGATCAAACCCAGAACCAAAAATGATTTATGATTTTTGTGCATGTTGTGCCACTTTTGTGCTAAAATATCAAATATGCTCAAGTCATCATCAAGTCAAAAGATGCAAGTCGATTCAAGTTGCAAGTCATTGGCTTTCAAGTCCAAGTCAAGTTGTAAGTCTTTAAAGATTTTATCAAGTCAAGTCAGAAGTCATTAAAATAATGACTTGAGTCTCACTCGAGTCCAAGTCATGTGACTCGAGTCCACACCTCTGCCACATAGACAACTTAGCAGACAACTTACAGGAGGTTATCTTCTATCTGGCCCTGTGTCGGGTCTTTCTGGATTTAAGGATGTGACTTTTTGGTACCGCACAGTTCATTTACTGGAGATAGTTTTTGTTTTCCTAAATTTGAGGCGCACACTGGTCAGGTACAAAAAAGGAAAAGAGAGCAAGAGAAAAATCAGCCATGGTTAGATTGGCAACTTTAAAAGACTTTCAGAAAATCATAAATGAGAGAAATGAGATAAAGATGGCTTTTTGAAGCAAAATGTGAATGCATTAATATAGATTAGAAATTTTCACGCATTTATTTCATAACATAAAGAAAAACATTTACATTCCACAACATCACTGAAACATTGTGGCTTTTAGGAGTGATTAAAAGTGAAACACAACAGTTACATCTCAGAAAATCAATAAAAACAAAATCTTAATTTGTATTTTTGTTTTAGTTAATAATGGTAAAATATGCAGACTTAAAAATTAGGATTGGCACAAAAATGTATCTCAAAAGGTGATGCACAAACATAAACATGGTTTACGACAGTTAACGATAACAATAGTTTTTTAAATGAATTTAATTATTACAGATAAGATGTGTGTGAAAAGCAGATAATGGGTACTAAATCAAAGGTGACTGTATATTTATGTAAAGTCCACAAAAAACTAATTTTACAAGCTCTTTACAGTAATTTTAACAATAAATTTAATTCTTTATCCATCTTTCACATCAATTAGCTCAAACATTTGTCCTTTTCTTAATTGATGACTGATGGTTGGTCAGCTGCATCAGAAAGGACTGAATTGAACAGGTTGGAAGAATTTAGACGCCTGCAATTAAAATCATCCCTGATGATATTTCAGAGAAATATAATTGTAAACAATCAAGTGTGTTTATTTGATGCATTAGAATGGTTTTCCTTTGGTTTTGTGTTTAAACCAATGATTTAAACTCAGACCTACCTCACCATCTAAAGCCACAGTGATATCTTCTCTCCTGAGCTACAACTGTTATCCCAATGGCTGTAGTACAGCTGTATAACAGTGCAGGCTATCTGTGAGGCGCTACTTTGGTGCAGCAGGGTCACCTCAGCCTGTGTAGGTATCAGCTGGAGTCTAATTCCTGTGATTCGGTGATAAATTTCTCTGATAGGAGACAAGCATAGGGTCTGGTCCAGATGGAGCTCTATTAAGCTGTTAATAAATGAGGATTCTTCTCTGCTCCGTCTGCATCTGTCGAATGGGAGGCAGTCACAAATTTGTAAACACACATGCACACACACAGCGACAGAATATTATAAAGCTAGCCAGATGGCTGAATTAGAACTCTCTCTCTCTCTCTCTCTCTCTCTCTCTCTCTCTCTCTCTCTCTCTCTCTCACACACACACACACACACACATGCACGTGCGCACGAACACACACACACACACACACACACACACACACACACACACACACACACACTCTGTCATTTTTTTCTTCTATCTTCTTCCATTCCTACACGGTAGATTATGTCTTGTTGGTCTCTTTATGACCAGGGTTTCACTTTATTGCCAGCTGTAATTAATGCAAATTCAGATGGGTAAAATAAATTGATTAAACCTCTTGATTGCCCATTCTATGTCCGTTTCATATTTTTATTAAGATATTTCACATCATTTTTAAGCGTGTTGCTGTCCAGGTGAGGGTTGCTTTAGTTTTAATAACTGCTTCATAATTAATATTAAAATTGCGTTCCTAAAAATATGAGCACCAGTATATTCATATTCCACCACCACTTCATCTTGTAAGATCATGTTGGATAATCCTGCTTGGCCATGTTTGAGATTGATTGGTTTTGGGAACATTTTAAAATAAGGGTCCCTTTATTAACGTTACTTAGTGCAATATTAAACAATACACAAAGAGTCCCTTTATCAGTCTTAACTTTATTGTTAATTATTAATCGTCCTTAAGGTTAGCAAAAAGAGCTGGTGGGTGTCCGCTTAGTAATGCATTACATAATGTTAAGTACAAGCAGTTAATACTTTATTTAAATCTTTATTAATGCACTAAGTAATTGTTACAGACCCCACTCCCCACCCGTCCTTCAAGGTCAGGAAGGAGAGAAGATAGTAACTGGACAACCGTAAGAAACGACACTCTACACACAAACGTCAGTTTATCACAGCTTTTATTGCTGTTCTGTTCATGTGGATGCTGCAGGTACCACTGTGGAGGAGGGGGAGACAGGGACAGTTAGGTGATGCCAAAAGAATGAAATTAATAAAACAAAATAGATCCTATCTACCCTTCTAACTAAACAAAGGGATCAAACAAAAGCCTCAGCTAAACTCCTCTGCAAAATAGTTGGATCCAAAAACATTACAGGGGGGCACCTACCTCCTTACCTAGTGTTTTTAACAAGTTTCCACTATGTGATGAGATGTACAGGGATCCCCCAGCTTACCTTGTCCACAGTCTCCCTCCACCAAACCTTCAAACAAAAGCAGCCCCGGAACACAGGTGAGTTAATCAAGCAGCAGCATGTGGGAGGAAGAGTCTCTCTGCTCTTCAGGGAAGCCGCCTTTTATCCTCTGCCCTGCTCCACAATTGGTCAAAGGTGAAAGTAATCAGCCAATCCAGGACCTCCACACCTACTCTGCACCCTGTGTGAAAAAGGGACAGGAGAGGGGAGAGAAAGAGGAAAAACAAAGGGAGAAACACATACCCTGCCTGGCTGGCATGTAACACCCCCACCCTTATAAGTCCAAACAAAGTGTTTTGGACAAAGAGGGGAAAAAAATCATGCAGTAACCAAAGCCTAAAACACACGCGATAGTGTGTCAGCTAAAACATTCTCAGTGTCATGACTCTCAGGCTGCCACCCTCCTCTGCCTCAGCTGCCTCCCCAATCAAGCCCTCAGCCACTTAATTATCATCACCTGCACCCTGTCATCAGCTCATGCCACACACCTGTTTCCTCTGCTATATAACACCCAGCCTGCTCTCCAACCAGTGCCAGATTATTGAGCACTTTTGCCAGTAAATCTTCCAGCCTTCCTTCCAGCCTGATCACAGTCCCTTGACCTCGTTTCCACGCCTGACCATCACCAAGAACTCTGCCTGCCACCACAAAACTAGCCTGTCCACGACCACGTCTCCAGCCTGCTCCCTGTACCTGCTTAGTTCCCATCTGGTTTCGACCCACGCCTGCCTTTGACTCTGCCCTTACCTGAGTTTTCTCCGGTAACGCTTCCTATTAGCTTCTGGCTAATAAAGACTTAACGTCTTACTGTGTTTGGTGTCCTCAAGGGTCCTCAAGTTCCGCCCGTTACAGAATAATCTGGCCATACTTGGACCCGACACAGGACTGGCAAAGCAGGAGTTGAGCTTCCATCTCAGGCTTGTAATCCAAGGTCTACGTACTCCTGGGTCTGCCTTGAACCAACATACAATACTATCCGACTTGTCATGGATCCAGCTGGTGAGTTTCTCACGCTCCTTGAGTTCATGGAGCTGGAGAAGGAACAGGAGTCATCTTTCTAGGGAACGCACCTAGCAATCAAGCCATCGCTGCGCAGAGGTTCCAACCCTCCGTCCAGACCTGCTACGGCAATCCTGCACAGAGGGCTCCTAACAACGTGTTGGAGGCGGCCCCGGAGACCCTCCGTTAATTCGCTGCCTTCCCACCTCCAAGGTTTATCAGCCACGCCCCCACAGTCACAGGCTTTACCTGTCATCACACCGCTCCAGCCTCAAGCCCCTCCTGTCATCACGCCGCTCCAGCCTCAAGCCCCTCCTTTCATCACGCCGCTCCAGCCTCAAGCCCCTCTTGCCATGCTACGTCAGCAGCGGTCCCGACAGTCTTCAGGGGCTGCTAAAAATGTTAGTCCTTCTCCCGTGCTGGTGTCAGCGGGTTCCCTAGACGACACCTCATGTTATGCTCCTAAGCCGGCCCTAACTGAGGAGGCAGTTAGGTTGATGATACAGATGGTCAAGGACTCTCTCTGGGTCAACTTTACCGGACCATTATGCCCCCACCAATGACTGCAGTTGACTGAAGGGTGAAATACCCTTGTTTCCACCCATCCGGAGCTGACAACGGTTCCAGCCCTTGGTAATCATTACCTTTGGGTCCGGAGTGTTTATGGGTCTGCACGTGAGGACGTCGCCGCAGAGGGTCTGACCTACTGTAAGAGATGGACACCTTCCCCAGAACCCTCCAGCACCACGCCAGGTCCAGCGGTGGTTCCAGAGGCCGCATCGCATCCAGGTCCAGCGGTGGTCCCAGAGGCCGCACCGCATCCACGTCCAGCGGTGGTCACAGAAGTCGCACCGCATCCATGTCCAGCGGTGGTCCCAGGGGTTGCACCACATCTACATCCAGCAGTGGTCCCAGAAGATGCACCGCATCCACGTCCAGCTGTGGTCCCAGGGGTCACACCGCATCCACTTTCAGCGGTGGTCCCAGAGGCTGCACTGCATCCAGTTCCAGCAGTGGTCCGAGCTCCGCAAATCCAAGGGGCGTCGCCTGTCCAAGGGGCGTCGCCCGTCCAAGAAGCTCTGCCCCCAGCCCAGCCGGGCCAAGAGGCTCCACCTGCAGCGGCTCTGCCTCAAGTCAAGTCATCAGCGCCAGGTCCGACGCCTCAAGTCATCAGTGCCAGGTCCGGTGCCTCAAGTCAAGCCGTCAGTGCCAGGTCCGGCGCCTCAAGTCAATTCATCAGCCCCAGGTCTGGTGCCTCAAGTCGTCGTCAGCGCCAGGTCCGGCGCCTCAAGTCAAGTTGTCAGCAACAGGTCCGGCGCCTCCTGCAGCTGCTCCGCCTCCCCTCGAATCTACGCCTCCGGCACCTCTACTCCTGTCTGCGTCTCCACTCAAGTTGGCGCCTCCTCCTGCAGTGGCTCCGCCTCCACTCAAGTCAGCGCCTCCAGTCAAGTCGGCGCACCCGCCTCCAGGGATTCTGGTTCTGACGGTCCCGCCTCCAGCCAAGTCTGCACCTCCAGCCAAGTCGGCGGACCAGACTCCAGGGGTTCTGGTTCCGGCGGTCCTGCCTCCAGCCAAGTTGGCCCCTCCAGCCAAGTCGGCGCCTCCAGCCAAGTCGGCGAACCCGCCTCCAGGGATTCTGGTTCTGGTGGTCCCACCTCCAGCCAAGTCGGCGCCTCCAGCCAATTTGGTGCCAACAGCCAAGTAAGCGGTCCCGCCTCCAGGGATTCTGGTTCTGGCAGTTCTGCCTCCAGCCAAGTCGGCACACCCGCCTCTAGGGATTCTGGTTCCAGTGGTCCCACCTCCAGCCAAGTTGGCGCCTCCAGCCAAGTCGGCGGACCCACCACCAGGGATTCGGTTTCCGGCAGTCCCGCCTACAGCCAAGTCGGCGCCTCTAGTCAAGTCAGCGAACCCGCATCCAGGGATTCTGGTTCCAGCGGTCCCGCCTCCAGCCAAGTCGGTGCATCCAGTCTGGTCGGCGAACCCTCTCCCAGGGACTCTTGTTCCGGCGTTCCCCCCTCCAGCCACGTTGGCACCTCCAGCCAAGTCGGCGGACTCGCCTTCACGGATTCTGGTCCCGGCGGCCCCACCTCCAGCCACGCCGGCCCCTCCAGCCAAGTCGGTGCCTCCAGCCAAGTTGGCGGATCCGCCCCCAGGGATTCTGGTTCCGGCAGTCCCGCCTCTAGCCAAGTCGGCGGACCTGTCTCCAGGGATTTGGGTTCTGGTGGTCCCGCCTCCAGCCAAGTCGGCACCTCCAGTCAAGTCGGCCGACCCGCTTCCAGAGATTCTGGTTCCGGAGGTCCCGCCTCCAGCCAAGTCGGTGCCATCAGCCAAGTCAGCGCACCCGCCTCCAGGGATTCTGGTTCCGGCGGTCCTGCCTCCAGCCAACTTGGCGCCTCCAGCCAGGTTGGCGCGTTCAGCACCTCCGCTCAAGCCAGCGCCTTCAGCACCTCCACTCAATTCAGCGCCCTCCTCTGCCTCATCTGCCTCCCCAATCAAGCCCTCAGCCACCTAATTATCATCACCTGCACCCTATCATCAGCTCATGCCACACACCTGCCTCTCCTGCTATATAACACCCAGCCTCCTCTCCAACCGGTGCAGGATAATTGAACGCTTTTGCCAGTAAATCTTCCAGCCTTTCTTCCAGCCTGATCACAGTCCCTTCACCTCGTTTCCATGCCTGAACATCACCAAGAACTCTGCCTGCCACCACGACTCTAGCCTGTCTAAGAGAAGAGCAAGTGCTTCCTTCTCTATGGTAGAGTATTTGCTCTGATGTGGGCTGATGTAACATATACTTATGTGAGTATATAAATTGTCTAATTGAAACTTATTGTAATGTAGTTAAGGACTAGAATGATCAGAAGACTAAATTCACTCAGGGAGGATTTACATTCAGTTGTGCTTAAAACACCCAAGAGAGCAAGACTTGCTGTGCAACCAAATGTGTTGTAGTAGTTTTCTTTGTTATTTACAATATTTACAGCAGTGCACTTTCAAAGTTCAATAAGTTAGTTGAAACACAGAGTCTTAAGCTTGTACTCCTATCTGTCCAAGAAGGTTATTCCAGATGAGCTAGCAACATTGTCCGTTACTGAGTCCATTAGATATGAAGAAGTCCAAAGGATCAAACCGGTTCTGTGTGAAGTCTCCAAAGTGGTTTGCTTGTACCAACAGCTTGTAGCAGCTCCTACCACACCAGCAGGAGATGATTAGGTTCTCTAGGCCTGGGCTCGGCCTAGTGGTAGCTCACCATCAAGTGGAAAAGGAACAGCATCGGGTCGTCTAATCGATGATCGCAGCCAAAAGACCTGGCCTGCGTAAACAGAACCACATATTAACATTCATGGTACCCTTTAACCTTTCCACACAGAAATCTACGCAGTCAAATACATTCTAATCAAATTTGAACAAATCCACATGTACCTGATTAACTTTGCTTTCCTTAACTGGCCAGGCAAAACAATCCACAACCAAAAGTAATAAGAGAAATGAGAAAAAAAGAAAAATGAAGCAAGAGCTCTTATTTAAACAATTCAACCAGAAAAAAGTAGTCAACCAACAGCACTGTTTGTTAGCTAACTTTAGCTTGTGGCTAACAGCTGAATAGCTACTCACCAGTTCCCAGGTTACAATCACATACAAATCATGATTCTGTCCAAAGCACATCCACAAGCTGCAAAACATTTCAGCATATGAGATGGCATCAAGGGAAGAGAATGACATTCAAATACTAAAGATGAAAACCAAGACAAATACCTGCAGCAACTGTGAGCTTCTTTGTTCACATAGGCATTACAACCATTTGGGTCCTCCACCCTTTTATACTCCCTGAACTCTCATGAGATTTCCTGGAAATCTCGTGAGTTCACAAAGTCATGAAAGTTTTCCAGACATGAAACCAGGAGTAAAAATAACTGGGGAAAAACTACCCAGAGCAACTATAAAAAGGGAAATAAAATGGTCAAATTAACCATGGGTTACACTGAACTTCCTTGAGAAATAGCTCACAGGATGGTCTGTACCATCTTCATCTTCATGTAGGATAACAGCACCCACCCCTACCGCACTGGCATCAATATCCAGTTTAAACGGCTGTTTAAAGTTGGGGGCAGCAAGAACTGGAGCGCAAGAAAGCAGCCCTTTCAGATTATCAAAGGCATGCTGACATTCTTCAGACCACACAAACAACTTTTAAGGGCTGGTCAGGGCAGTTAATGGGGCAGCCACCATCAAGAATTTCTTACAGAACCGATGTTAAAAACCTGCCATTCCTAAGAAACAACGCAACTCCCTTCGGGTAGCAAGAGTGGGAAAGTTAGCAATGGATTGGGTCTTTGCATCCACAGGACAGACTCTACCACCACCCACCTGCTGACCAAGATAAGTGATGGTCCCTTTTCCAAACTTACATTTTGCTAACTTAAGCATCAAAGAAGCCAAGGACAGGCGTTTAAACACCTCCCTTGATGTAGCCAAGTGGTCACTCCACTCAATGGAATAAGCCACTATTCGTCTAGGTAAACTCGACAATTCGGTACTCCTCCAGGTACCTTATTTACCAGTCTCTGGAAAGTAGTCGGCACATTACACAGACCAAATGGCATCACTGTATACTGAAGAAAGCCATCCGGTGTCACAAAAGCAGAGATCTCCGAAGCTTGAGGAGTTAAAGGAATTTGCCAGTACCCCTTTAACATATCCAGCTTATTGACAAACTTAGCTGGACCGATTTCATCAATGCAATCGTCAATGAGCGGCAATGGATAGGCATCAGGAACTGTAACAGCATTTACCTTACGAAAATCAGTACAGAACCTCGGACTTCCATCTGCCTTAACATCCAACAAGTAAGGAGAACTTCATGAGCTTGAACTGGGAACAGCCAGCCCATTGCTAACCCAGATATTCTACTTCCTTTTTGATTGCTTCCCTCTTCACTGGATTAACCCGATATGTACGCTGTTTAATAGGTGCGGGTTGTGTTAGAAGAATATCGTGGGAGATCTCCTTAGTTTGGGTAGGGACGTCCCCAAACAGACTCGGAAGTCCAAGATGAGCTTCTGCACATCAGCAGCATGATCGTCTGTTAGATATGATAAATAGAGGGACAAGTCAGACTAAATCTTACTATTGCTGAGATTTGCCCCAAGGGGGGCCTCCATCCGCAAGGTTTGGTCATCCCCACCATCCTCAACAGTTGAATTAGACATCACACAGACCACAGGGGAAATAGCCTCATTCCCACCCTGGGTGGCTGGACATCCACTGTCCCTTGAGTGATAACCCCTCATCATGTTAACATGGCACATTCTAGTCCTACGATGGCGATCAGGAGTTTTGACAACATAGTCTCACTAAGCTTCTGCTCAACCACATATGGACCAGAAAATTTTGTCCGTAAGGAGGAACCAGGTATTGGTAATAACACATGTACGTCGTCTCCTGGGCAAAACTTACGCAGCACAACTTTTTGGTCATAGCGTTTTTTCATGTCACTTTGATTGGAGGTTAGAGACTCTTGAGCCAGAATAGATGCAGACTGGAGTCGTTGCTTCATCTTAATCACATACTCAGGAATACTTTTAAGAGTTTCTGAGGGCTGGACCAATGTCTCTTTAAGAATGGTCAAAGGTCCTCTCACCTCATGTCCAAACACTAGTTCGGCTGGACTATAGCCTAAAGACTCTCGAACTGCCTCCCGGGCTGCGAACAACAGAAACAGAATCCCCTGTTGAATTCCCTGATGTACAGGGATCCCCCAGCTTACCTTATCCACAGTCTCCCTCCACCCAAACCTTCAAACAAAAGCATCTCCAGAACACAGGTGAGTTAATCAAGCAGCACGATGTGGGAAGAAGAGTCTTTGCTTCTTCTTCAGTGAGGGAGGCAGGCTAGACGCCCATGAGGCATATTGCTGCCACAGCCACCCAAACACACCACCAGAGTGTGTCACAGCCTCTCATAAACCCCCGTCACATGCAGAAACCACATCAGGGCCCACACCCTACGCCGGTCCTCCACACCCAACAAGATCCACAGAGAAAAACACTGACAGACCCGCAGCCCTCAACCTCCGAAAATACGCCTCCCTCTCACGACCATACCATCTACAATGCAGAAGAACATGGCACACAGACTCAGGCTCCCCACAGTCACACCTCCCGTCCACGTGTTTCCCCACCAAAAACAGCCCGCTTCGAAGACCACTATGTCCCAACCTCATCCGAGTGAGGATCATCGCGTCTCTCCTCCGAAGATCAAGGACCGACCCACAGCCACCCACCAAATGATGTAACTCATAAAATCCCCTACCCAAAACCCCACCATCCCACGATGCCTGCCACAATCTCATGACCTCCCTGCCTATCGCTGAACAATACTCAGGAGAGCCCATGGCATGACAGCCACTCATTCAGCCAAAAATATTTAGCTTCTCTTTTCGATTCTGTTCTTTCAAATAGGTTTTGGAAAGAGTTTAGCAGTTTTGTTATTTAAGTAGATGTTTTTTACTACCTACTGTAAATGTTTCCAAAGGTGGTAATGTAACTTCTGTAAGTCGTACGTCCAGCCAACCATCTAACGTGACATCATCTACAGGTACAGGACTGCGTTTAATATGGCGTCCTCCAAAGATGCTGGACCCACACCCTATGTACTTTAGACCCAGTTTTTATGGTTATATGTTACAAAACCACCAATATTTTTCAACGGCTGGATGTCCTTTTATTCATTTTCAACAACATTTTGATGGATATTTCCAGAGATTAAAGGTAAAAATACATTTTGTGATCCATTCGATTTAGACCATTCTTTGTGAATTTGCACAACTTTGTTACACACTTTATAAACAGCCTATTAGCATGGTAATAATCCTTGTGTATATGCAATCTAGCTCTG